GCCGCGGGGGGTGAGCCCGCAGCTGCCCGGCCGGGCTGGCTTCCTCATGCCCCTGCCCTCCCTGCCTGGCGCCCCAGGAGCTCCCAGGCACTCATCACCATGGCACCCACCCAGCCTGGGCCGTTGGCATGGCAACAGGCCTCCTGGCACCCCCAGGGTTGGCACCACTGTCTCTGGGGGCCAGCTGGCGGGGGGGAGGGGAGGAGTTGGCGCTGGGCACGAGTGAGGTGCCAGGCTAGGAGGTGGCCCTTCCTTCCCGCTGCCCCATCACCCGCAGGTAGCACATCCTGTCGCCTCCCCACCCAAGGGGCTTGGGGCCCAGACAGGAGGTAGGTGGAGCCTCTGGCAGGAGCACAGGGAAGCCTCTTCTGAAGACAGCAGGGACTAGGGCTTGGTTAGTGGGCGGGGGCAGCCCCAGTCCCCCATCCGGGCCAAGCACCTCCTGGGCATCCCCTGCCCTCTGAGCACCAGGGTCCTGGGCGGGCAGGGCCTTCGGGCCGCAGGCTCACCCGGTGCCTCTTCCCCAGACCACCTGCTGGCTGACGCCTACTCTGGCCACGACGGGTCCCCCGAGATGCAGCCAGCCCCCCAGAACAAGCGCCGCCTCTCCCTCGTCTCCAACGGCCGCTATGAGGGCAGCCTCTCGGAGGAGGCAGTCATTGGGCAGCCGGCCGGAGAGGGCCCCCAGCCCCGCGTGTACACCATCTCTGGGGAGCCAGCCCTGTTGCCCAGCCCGGAGGCCGAGGCCATTGAGCTGGCGGTGGTGAAGGGGCGGCGGCACCGGGAGCAGCATCCCCACCACCACGGCCAGCCCCTGCGTGCCAGCCCGGGCAGCAGCCGCGAGGACGTCAGCACACCCTGCCAGAGCTGGGCGGGCAGCCGCCAGGGCTCCAAGGAATGTCCAGGATGCGCCCAGCTGGCCCCTGGCCCCTCCCCTCGGGCCTTTGGGCTGGACCAGCCCCCTCTGCCCCAGGCCACTGGCCGCCGCAAGAAGCTGGAAAGGATGTACAGTGTGGACCGCGTGGCTGGTGAGGCGGCATCAGGGGCGCGGGCAGGCCTGGCGGAGCCCAGGGGCCGGGGTCTGCCAGCGGCGACCCCTGTGGGGCTTGGACAGGCGGAGGGTGCCTAGGCCACAGCATGCAAGCAGGGTCCTGCTGCCCTGCCTCATGCCCATAGTTGGCTTTGGCTCTGCCAGCACCGAGCCAGTCAGACAGTGCTTCCCGGGGCAGGGGGCTTGGGAGGATCGTGAGGGTTGAGCAGGCTGAAAGCATGGACTTAGCTGGAAGATTGGGGAGTCCTGGGGAACGGTCCCAGGCCCATCAAACAGGGCTCCCACATATTTCAGGACATACATAGCTGTTTGTGGCCTGGCCAGCCGGTGGGCCTCTCCCCCGGGGTCGTCGGGCTGTGTGGGTGGCTGGGGACCCCATAGGCCCACTGTGTCTTGAAAAGGCCTCCCTGGGACTCTCAAGCAGCCCCGTGCCTCCTGGCTCGGAGGTCACGTCCTGAAGAGCAGAGCTCTAGTTGAGCTGCCACATTCTCTGAGGCCACCTCCTGGGCTTCAAGTCCACAGTCCTCTTGGCATCAGGGCACAGGGCTGGGTGTGGGCAGTTCCCCTCCACGATCTCGTGCTTCTCTGAAGGACACAGGTGAGGGGTTGGGCAGGGGTCAGGGTGAGAGGGCTGAGCTGATTCAGCCTTCCCCTACCTTGTCTAGGAGCTGTAGCATGTCCATGCTCCCTGAGGGTCTCTACCTCTGCCCCTGGTAGGGTCCCGGGGAGGGGAGGTCTGGCTCACACCAGAGCTTCCAGGCTGCAGAGAAGACCCAGGAGGGGCTGCAGCCATTGTCCCTGGCCTGCCCCTCCTTCCCAAAGAGAGACAGAATGAGTCCTTTCCAGGGCACCCCGGGGACAGGTTGTGCTTTCAAAGGAATGCTCCCCAACTGTGGGCAACCAAAGGGAGAGCTAAGCAAGGACAGTCAAAGCGTCACGAAGCGGCTGAGCTGCGTGGGTGCACCTCGCCTCATGCCCTGCGCCAGCCTCTGGCTCTAGGGCTGCGGCGGAAGCACCCCCTTCCCCAGCAGGACCCCCCACGCCTCCCTGGTCATTGCGCATTTGTCTCTTCCAGACGACACCCCCACCCCCATCCGCACCTGGTTCCCCAAGGAGAACCTCTTCAGCTTCCAGACAGCAACCACAACTATGCAAGCGTGAGTCATGTCCCTGACATGTGCCCGCATGGGGCCTCTTCCTGGACCCTCTCCTTCCCCTGGGCCCACCTGGTGGCTGTTTCTGAGCAGCCCCACGAGCCCAGAAATGGTGTCACTCTGAAGGAAGAAAGGCCAGATGCTTTTCTCACCCCCCCGCCCCCGACCTCCCCCGTTCCTCACTGTTCCTCCTTTCTGTGCATCCTGTCCTGTCCACGGTTGATACAGTCACCAGTGGGGGCGATTCTCCTGGGCCCGTGTCACCCAGCTCTGCCTACGAGGCTCTGCCCTCACACATGCCCCCAGACAGCAGCCCGCTGGTGTTCCATGTACACCGCGAGTGACCACAACTCAGGGGCCCGGGGGTCTGCCCTCCTGCACCTACGACACATAGCTGGGTTTCTGTCCTCGGGCTCCCTCCAGGGGCCATCCTCTGTTGTAGTGGGCTCCACACCAAAGAAGCTACCTACCCTAGGGCCAGGAAGTGGTGCCACCGTGCCCTCGGGCCCCCGGCTGGCAGGGCAGTCAGGCCTCTGTGCCTGCCTGACAGGTCATGGCACCTGGTGGCATGGGCTGTGGTGACTGCAGTGTGCAGCGCCCCTCTGGTTCCTGGGGTCCCTGTGGGGGACTCTCTGAGTCAAGCACAGGAGGGTACTGCCTGCAGGGAGCTTGGGGGGCCGAGGGGTCGAGGCTCACTGTGTCTTCTCTCTCACGCTGCCCCTTCTGGCCTCGCCTCTAGCATCTCGTAAGTACCCTGTGGGACCTGCAGCCTAAGGGCATGCGGTTGTCCCTGGGGAGTCCTCCCACCACCCTCCAAATAAGTCTGGGCAAGCCAGGGACCTGGGCATTGACTGTGGGAGTGCTGCGTGCCCTCGGGCACTGAGGCTGCAGCGGTCCTGCCAGGGGCCAGGCCAGGCCAGGACAAGGTGGGCCAGGACCCCTCTGCCAGGTCCAGCACCCCGGATGCCCCACCGGTCTGGTCCCTGTGCTCCCTCTTCTGTCCCCTCGTGTCTGTTCCTCTGTCCGTGGCCAAGGCAGTGCTGACTCCCGGTGGTTTCCCAGGGTGTTCAGGGGCTACGCGGAGAGGAAGCGCCGGAAGCGGGAGCATGATTCCGCGTCTGTAATCCAGAGGTAGGGCCTGCCAGCCACTCGCCACCAGGGTCTGTCTCTTGTCTGTGCTGGTCTGGCCTGGGCCCCCCAGGCCCCTGCAGACCAGATGGGGGAAGGGTGGTGGCGACCACTGGCCTGGCCCTGCTCTGGGGACGCAGCAGTCAGGAGAGGTCATGTGGCCTGGGCCCCCCAGGCTTTTGTTTTGGGGGCACCTTGAAGCCCAGAGCTGTGGGGTCTGGGTGAGGCTTACCCTTCCTGATCCCCTCTCAGAGATGTGTCCAGGAAGCCGCCTGTCCATTTCGGACATCAGGCTTTGTCAGGGCACAGCATTTGGGGACAAAGAAGACCTGCCTTTGAGATGGCCCAGGGACGTAGTGGTGGGGGAGGGGGCATCGTCTGCAAGCCCCAGGCCTACCTGTGGGTGATGCAGACAGCCGCCCAGCTGAGCGCAGGAAGCAGGAGCCCTTGACCACTTGGGAGGGAGGCTGGCCTGGGCCCGAGGAGGAGATGGGCGGGCAAGCAGTGGAGGTGGGGTGCTGAGTGCCCTGGGTCACCGAGGGGTGGAGGGTGGGGTGGCAGGAGAAGGCTTGGTCATTGTGCCTTTGAACAGGCACCAAAGGGAGCCCGGGAGGGGTCTCAGAAGGAGGGGGACTGGGATTTGCCTCTGGGTGGGCGCTGGGCCACCGGGAGAGTTTAGGGCCCCGGGAGGGCGTCCCTCGCTGAGAGGGAAGAACAGAGCCAGGGGCGGTGGCTGTGGCGGTCAGGGAGTGTGGGGGACTAGGGGACAGGGCCACCACCCACTCTCGCAGCCCTCAGCAGCCCTGCCCGGGCCTTCTGTTCCCCCAGGAACTTCCGAAAACACCTGCGCATGGTCGGCAGCCGGCGGGTGAAGGCCCAGAGTAAGGGGG